ACTCCAAGTATAGTTCTGGAGAAGCTAAAAATGGCACGTCGAGATACGCCCCGATGAAACGACGTCATCAGAGTACGCTGCTTGGGCACTCGTTGTACAGACCATAGTTTTCTTGAGGTTGGAAGATCATCTTATCATCCCGTTTCGAGAGAGGGACCGAAATAACCACAACTGCTATAGATCTCCAGCTGTACCACTTATAAAATAAAAGCTGATGGAGAGCAGTCTGCACGGTAACGTCAATAGACATATGAACCATAACATCATCCTACACCAAAGCCCAAGGTGGGTTCAATAATGCATGTTTCTGCACTACCAATTTGCTGTAAATTTGGAATAAAAAGAAAGCATGCTGGAGCTATAATACTCCTGTCTATGTCTTACTTCTAGACCTTGCGGAAACCTTCGATTCAATGTCGCGTGAAGTCCCAATATGGAAAGTCTTGGAAATGGGAATTCGCAACCCAATGCTGTTTTGCATTGAAGTTTACCTGTATTTCATTGGATTTAGCTCAAATGAGAACCGAGCATGCTCCACTTGAAGAAAAGGAACCACTGTAGTATTTGAAGAAGTAATTCCAGTTTCACTGTTATTTTGGATCCTTACAAGGGACCTGTCAAACAACTTAGGCTCTCAGAATTTTCTGTAGATGGGCTTTGGAGGGCCGTGAGATAAAAAGGAAGAAGTGATCAAACTGCAGGAAGATCTGACCAACAGGTAGAATTGAGCCACAGAAAACTGGCTAGCTTTCAGCGCTAACGAACCCCGGAAAATGGGCGACGTTCATCCGTACACCAGTGGAATAAAGGTCCTTATGCTGTTTGTGTAGTGTCGGTCTTTCTCTGCCTCCGCAATTTCAAGCTACCCCTGGTGGACAAGTGGCAAACAAGTATTAACTGTGTAGATGAAGCCAAGATACTACTGCAATCTACTTCGTGCATAAGCAGCTTGGATCACTCCACCGACACTTTGGTGTAGGTGTACGAAGAAATGTGAAGCCATGTGTAGAATTTTATAGTGTGACTGCATTGCCACTCCTAAATTGGGGGTGTGAACCTTGACAAAAAATTCATATGGAGGCCTTGCTACATTTTTGGTACTAATCATGCATTCACACCAAAGTGAGATAATGTACCTCCTTTTATTGCATTCAAGAAATCTGTGGCACCTAACAGGATAGTTCTTGTTGGAGTCCGTTCACAATAAATAAGCGAGCATCAAGTTTGATAGGGGCTTGTCAGAAAGATATTGGATATCCGATAACGCTGACTTCCGCATTCATAACAAAGATATTGGCTTGCTGTCGTAGAACAGACAAATGCAAAGTGGATACACTAATCCTACTAGTACTAAGTAAAATTCTCATGCAAATAAAAGTATCTGTGGTCCACAGCTGATTTTTATATTGATGCCACATACATAAACAGACCCTGTATGTTTTCCAGTAATAGGGGATTATGGACAAATTTCAAGATAAACCCTGAAATATCCCCACTTTTAAAGCGTTCTATAATCAAGATTACTTGCAGATCAACTTGACGCTAATTGAGTTTACTTTAAACGAAATCATTGCAACCAATTTGCTAAGAGTGTGCCACAGTCCGATCACAAGAAGCGAACACCACCATAACTAGTCAGGAAATGAGAATTCCTATCAGTCCAGAAAAAATAGAACAAATTTTTATTAAAATTTATTCATAAAATAAATTTACCAAGCAAAATTTCAGAGAACGTGACTGATCACCTCAGCCGTGTAGGCGCCATTTTCAGGTAATTCTGAAGGTCATAGAGAGTTGGTTTGGTAACGTTTCCTAGTACTTCACTAGATGTTTCTATGAAAAGAGAGTTGTGATTAGAAGGCGTTTACCGATACGCTTGACAATCGCATTTAATTTTTCAAATTTAATACGGTTTAGTTGAAGTATGGGAGACACTCTGATCAATCGCACCAATGATCTTCGGCGATTAATTAGAATTAAGCGTCTAAAAAAGTAGCGAATTTCTGCAGACGATGATTACAGATATTAGGTATCTGATGTAATCATACGTTTGCGGTTATTTCCTATAATTTTACCTAGGATCGTCGTTCTGTTGACACAGTAACCATTCTGTGAATTTCCTGCCGCATATTCACGTCATAGGACCTCCATCATCCACTCAGTAATCGTACACTCATCTTCTAGGAGTGTTTGAGGGAATTTCGTAACGGGAAGCACAATTCGGTGCTGTTTTTTACACACTGTAACCATAAATTGTCGAAGGTTATGTAGCGGTACGGCTATTATAATATAAAGGTGTCTTCAGAGTTGGAATATAGTAGGCCGTCCAAAAGTAGCTCTTGTCAACCTGTGTAGTATTTATCTCCAAAATGGTCTTCAGGCATCCTTATGGAATTGTTCGCAAAACTAGCCAATAACTGAAAGCTTTCTTGTTTCACGCCAGATAAGTTACGAAATTTCATCATGGACTGAAATCGGTTGGTTAGAGAAACATTGGAAAACCAACGAGGAGTCTTGTATGGACAGGTGTTCCGGTTGTCCTAGTCTGGGACTCTACTTCATCAGTATGCACCCACCCTACTGGGGTTCGAATCCAAGGGTTCGTGGTCACCAGGACGGCGAGATTGTAGACCATTAAACGATAGGGAAAAGAAAAAAGAAAAGGCGTCCAGCGAAGAGTTAATCCTCTTCTCGGCAATGTCGTTCTGAAGCTGTACAATCTGATATATATATATGTTGATATGACATATATATATATACCTTAACCTGGCTAATAAAACGGGATGAAAATGCTGTTGTTTTTAAAGATTTCATCTGATTGACTAACAATCACTGTTAATTAATCCACAATCATAAGATTAAAATTAGTAGCTGAGGGACATACAGTCACTTCTCCGTTTTCCAATCTGTTAAGTGATAATTGCGGTTAGTTGATAAAAAGTGAATCTTATCTGTTGACGTCAAGTTTATCCCAGTCATTTTGCACATTTTACATCTGTAGACTATATCTTTAACATTAGAATTACTCTCTGAGAATTATTATTTACTGATAGTTGCTATTTTGACGAGATGGTTGTACTTGCACATCGCGATGACTGAACGAGCTACACTGGCTGGAACAAATGTTCTTCTACAGGTCATACCATGCATGAAGGGTCTTTTGTATAGCAGTAAGACTGGAAGTAGTTACCAGCATAGTATTATTTGCTCATGCGTTGTTGATTCGTTGACTGGTTTCGGCGTTTAGCTTTGCACAGACGTCCACTAGTTCGATTTGCCACACTCGCTCCATGTACCACACTAACCAACTAAAAACAGTAAACAAAAATTCAAAACAGAGAGATAATAAACAGAAGTGTGAGTGAGGGAAAAGGAATAATAATATGAAAGTACAGTAGACTTTTATTGGATATTATGAATCGCAGAGTGATTGCATCTGCACCAGACATGACTGAGAACGATTTTCAACGAGCCATATCACCAGTTGTTTCCGGCCGCCACTGGTATTTACCATCATCTTGAGGACCCCGACCAGGCAGTCACTTAGGAAGTCTACGACTCCATACGTGGCTCGCTGGATGGCTGGCTTGCTTAAAATAACTCTTGAGGATTTCATTGGCTGATGACGAAGCCATGTTTCCTTTTGACCACCACCAACACTACTACTAGCTAACTCCTCTCCAACCTCATCCATCGATCCATCTTATGTCAGCCAGCTAACATTGCCTCCCCCCGCCTCATCCGTTGGTCTGTCGGTTAAGGAAGGCGATGGCTAGCCAGACTGGCAGGTGGGCATACATGCGTGAGCAACACATGTCCTAACCACCCATCTCAATCCATGTAACTGCTTCACAACGTCGTCGTCGGTTGATCCCTCCTCCCTACTTCCTTGCCTAGCACCTAGCACTCGACCGACTGGTGCTGCACCTCAATGTTGCTTACTCAGCCTGTCTGTTACACTTACCACCACCACCTACCCAACAACATGGGAGATAGAACGCAGACACCTATGATCAAAGACAGCCAGCTTGGTAGCTAGCTAGCTAGCCTGGATTTTCATGGCCATGTCTCACAGCCAGTCAGCCGGCCACCCATAAAATAGGGTGGAGCGGAGTTCTGAGCAGTGCATACGCAATTTAGTCGATAGCCAGCCAGTCGAATATCGGGTCTACTAAGCACGCCAGAGATGGCGTAAGTTGAGTTGGCTGAAAAGTGCTAAACGAGCCTTCTGTATGCGTATCCGTGTTGAGATTTCGTTAGCCAGCAGATCAAACCACTGGCGTTGGCTGGGTTGATGCAGCTTCCCAAATAACTGAAGTGGTCAAGTCAACACGCTCAGCCAGTCAGCCACCACTTCACTGCTGCCTGCCTAACTATCTCTAAGCTGGGAGTAGTCGATATATTTCAGTCTTGTTGAGGGGTGGGGAGTCTGAGGGCGTGATTGTACTGCTGGCGAATACGGATGTAACAGAAGTATGGTATTTCCCTAGGTTGGTAAGGAAACCAGCTATATTGCCTATGCTCCCTAGGGAGGGGTGAGTTAAGGAAGTTCCATCCCAAAAATTGTACATCCTAACTTATCTTGTGGTGTTCCGTAGCTGGCAACCAAATCATCATGCGAATACACCTTAAAATGGCAACTCAGTTAGGCTATTCGTAACTAGTCCTTAAGCCAGCAGTCCTTTGGCTGGCGCGGTCGCACATAACACTAACTATCTTCTGTTTCAGAGATACCCCGGGAAATCAATTTCCACGGTATGGCAGGGAGAGGGGGCAGGCGAGAAGCGATAACCACCCATATACTTTCCACCAGCATATATGATATAATCATGACTGACTTTTAGTTGTAACTGAGGGTTTTTATGACGAGATTGATTAGATTTTGAATACACACACATTCATTTCCACCGTGGTAAAGAAAACTTCCTTAACAATTAATGGTTTTTTTTCCTTTTTCAGGTGTATAATTCCTTTTACAATTGGTTTGAGTAAAACTTTTGATGTCTCTTGAGCAGAGTATGTTCACTAAAGGTGATGATTGCAGTAAGTCACACTTAATTAATTTTATCTGGTCTTCATTAGATAATGATGCAACCAATTCTGATAATGTACCTGCTGTCCACATAGACGATGTACAACGCATGGAAGCTCGTCTTTTAAAGCTGTTAGATGAATTCAATGCCAAAAAGTCTTCATCGTTTGGTAGTGTGGGAAAATTTGTTACACATTTAATACCTATCTATATATAGGTCCCAACTGTCCATATGAAAAGCTTGATTCTATTAGAGAGCAACAAGAAGAGCTTATGCGATTGCATTTTGAGCAGGATAAAAAGATGATGTCAATCCTTGAGTCAGGCTCAACACTTGGTCGACGTCCTGTCAGAGCGTAATTCAAAACTTACTGAATATGTATATAGATTCTGTTAGGCTTTTAACCGAGGAGGGTCGAAAAACTACGAAAACAAATGTTGATGCTCTAGTCACACGGGTATGTAACTTTTTTTTTAAACCTTCATTAGACTTCCTAATCTTCAGAATGGTTACTTTTTGTTATTGATTTTACTTTGCATGTTAGGAAATATTTTTTTTTTGATTTAAATTAAACACAGAAATAAAAAACTCGGTACAATATGGCACCAAGCGGAGACGCTACACAAAATTAATAGTTAAACAACATATGAGATAAAAAGTAGAAATATAGGTGGAAAACGAATAAAGTACTTTATCATCTGGAAGGAAAATAGTCATATTTAACGAGCTTAAACAGTATTCGTCGAATTACTGTTGGGAATGGAAGAAAGAAGGAAATTGCAGCACGGCATTTGCCATTGATGCTTGCGATTCTTGGCCACATCCTATAACGTTTCAAGCGACCCATCGATTTCAGCCACTATCTCTCGGATTCCAACCCGGGAGTGGTGACGCACCAACCGATGCTAATCTAACACAAATATCCTTCATTACACGACACGACGTCATGGGCTGACGACCACCTCTCCGCTTTTTCCATCCAGTCCTAGGGCTGGCCAGCGAACAGAGGTATGTACAAAAGCCTCTGGGATGACATTCGCAGCATATGTCCAATTCACCGAAGCCGGTGTTTCCATATGACGGCGACACTCAGTGAATGGTGATCTCTACTGTGTTCAAACACACATTGCCTGACCTCAGAATTACTCACTCGATGATGCCATCGAACGGATGTAATCCCTACGCAGACAGAGATGGTCGAATGCGCAGAGTTGTCGTACATCCTCACCCTGTCAGTACCCAATGGTTTCCGACGCCAAAGTTTAATCCCACTAGACCACTTGGGTCACGAGGACCACCATTTTGGGTGTTGGCGTCTTTGAAACTTTTGTGCTATTATGTCTAGATTACCTTCATATCTCTCTTTAGTGTGACATTGTTGTAAACCTGTGGTACATTGCGATCGGTACATATCATTCATTGTCTCACACCTTCATTAAGTTTCATGCGCAATAAAGCACTGTACACTGTTTCTATGCGGAATGTGGCTTATTGGCTTAAGCACTCGACTTTCAGCCAATACGTCATGGGTTCGAATCCTGCCCCACCTACTTATGCCTGGTTAACTGGCATAGTATCATCAGCAGCACTCACACAATAACTTTTTCGACCATAGTCTGAAACATATGAAACACCTGTTCTGGAAACTGATCCAAACAACGGAAGAAGCGCCATGTGAAACGACACGTTCACTCAGTCTTGTGTTGAAAGGATTAATCGCATTAAATGGTAAATTATCCCTTAGCCCTATCTCTGTTTAATTTCATCATAGATATTGTACTAATGAACTTTAACCCTAACTGACTTCAGCTACTCACGGATTGACTTGTTACTACCACGGAATAGTCTCGTTGACTTAGGATATCAAGATGATATAGTCCTCCCACCTGGATCAAGACGATGACAAAATAGAGCAGTCTTTTGAGCGGCTTCAGCTTGAGCAGCAATCTTCGAATGTTTGGCATGCAAGCCGATTCGCTCCTACTGCTGTCAAATGTAAGATAATGCGGCTACAGGACTCGACTGGACTGCACTGCACTGGACTACATCGACTACTCCTAGCTTAAAGATAGGAGTTGAAGTGGATGAATTACAAAACTTTTAAAGATTATTAAATAAGTGAACTGGTATAAAGATTTTAAACTAGTAGGTAAAGTGTTCTCTAAGAAATTAAAAGTACGATGATAATAACAATAGAGAAACGGCGAAGATGAAGTGAAGTGTAATGATGAATTCAAGTGGTAAAATAGAATAAAATAAAATAAAAGAACATTATTATGACCAAGGTGAGGAAAGAAATTTCACATAACGTTTTTGAATACATAATTTAGATTTCTGTCCATGTATAGCTAGAGCTTCGGCTATGCATAAGTGAAGAAAATGTAAGCTTTCGGAGTGATTAGACTTTGGTTCTGTAGATAACTTTAAAGGATAAATCACTCCAGCTTATCTAAGTCATATTTACAAGGGATGAATGTATCATCCGAATTATATATGCGCAAACCAAGTTCACTTTTAACAGTGTGAAAAAAATTTGGTCATTGGGTATATGATACATATTCATTATTATAAAAGTTCTTTTTGTATTTCCCAGTGAATGATGAAAAACAAAACGATATTGCCGTTTTTAACTGATGTTTCAGTATTTCATGCCTCTAACAGCTTTATCAAAGTAGTAATATTAAACCGTAAGGATTTACAAAATCCACTCAGCTTACATTATGTAATAACTTAATCATCGTTCATCAGCATAGTGGGTAATTCCTCTCACGTTGTCAAGCTGGCCATTTGGTAAAGTTAACAAAACCAAGTGTAGATTGTTGGATTTGATGAGCATATAAAATTATACAAAAACAGCATGTGTTTACATAATGAAAACAGACGTTCGCGTTGATTTTGTCATTTCATGCGAGAAACCGGGGGTGTTGTGGTGTAACCAGGTCAAATTGTCTATTAGTCCATCATTCCTGTTCAGTTCAGACAATTTGGATTCCATTTGATAAGAAGTGCCTCTGGTGATATGATACGTTCTTTATGATTTCTGAAACTATTTCTGGATGATTACTTCAATTTTGTGACCTGATTCTGTAGCACAGCGTGTCGTGTAGACGACCTACGGTTAATGAACTTTCAAGCTTTTATAGCTAATTCAACTGTATTTGTTTCTCGGTGGTCGGACAGATGCTCTACGGTGCTTATTTCTTCTGATTTTGATTTCTCGCGATGTTTATCCAATGTATGTCACATTACATTGCAAGCATTTTATTTTGTAGACACAATTAGATTGATAATCTTTAGGGATTTGATCTTTTACATGGACAAGGTTGCTTTGTAGTCAGTGTGTGTGTGCGTCTGATGTTTTGAAGAGAACTCTGATGTTATGTTTATTTGAGTACTCTTCTGATTTCGTCTGACGTTTGTGATGCACATGGGATGACAACTGTTGAGCTCCATCCATGTCCTCAAAATACGTTTTCCACCATATTTAATGTTGGTGTTGATTTTGTTCATGAAATTCTTTGGGCAGTCATTTTTCTTGAGACTCTCAGTAATGTTTGATATTTCTTTGTCTTCTTTTTCTTTCTCATCCGTTAATACCACAAAGAGTGTGCTCATCTAAGAAGACTTGAAACAACTAATGCCCTTGTGCTGATCCGAAGTCTAAAATATCTGCTGGAGTGTGTTTCCATCCTGAATGAATATAGATATATTATTAAAATATCCGGTCTCCCTCTTCTTAACTAGCCAGCCAGTGTGGGAATAGTAGGCCACCGAAGTCTGATTCTCTCTGCTTCGGAAGTAAACTGGATGTTGGGACATAGACTGTATGTACAGTCTCGCCAAGAATGAATTGTGTAGATGACGTTTTAGCACAACAAAGGTATCCTCAAAGTTACTGAGCCATATTTTAGGTGTATGTTTGAAAAGATGTTATCGTCAAATCTATTCATGAAAAGATCAGTGACTACTGGGGAGACTGGTGGATCCATAGAAACACCATATGTGTCTGACTATATAAATTCCCTTTGAATGTGAAATAATTACTTTTCAGACAGAGTTTCAAGCTCTTTATTATTTCACTGGTGTCCAGTGGACATCTTTGTGATAAGGTTTTATCTGATTCCAGTAAACTGAAAATGATATCAAGATTTTCGGTAGTGAGAATACTAGTATATACTGAGTTAATATCATAGCTTACCATAATGAACGATGAATAAGTTGTTATATATGTAACTGACTGACTGGTTTCAACATAGAACTTTGCACAGATGTGCAGCAGTCCGAGTCTACACACTTCCCTTAGCACATAAAGCAAGAGAAGAAAGTAAAAGTAAATGCGAAACAGAGACAGTGAACAGAAATATAAGACAAAAAGAATAGTAATATCGAAGAGGAATATAGTTTCATTGGATATTATAAGTCACAAAGAGTGGATGCATCTGTGCCATCCGTTGAGAACAATCACTTTGAGCCAGCCATATCACGAATCGTCTCCAGCCATGATTGGTTTTTACCGTCATCCTGAGGACCCCAACCAGTTAGGAAGTCTACACCTTCCTACGTGGTTGGCTGGCTGTCTGGCTTAAACTAACTGTTGTGGATTTCATTGACTGATGAAGTCATGTGTTGGTTTGACCACCACTGGCTAACTCTTTTCCAACCTGATCCTATGTCAGCTAACATTGCCCACTGTTGAGGAAGACGATGGCTAGTCATGAGTACCTAACACATGACCTAACCATCTCAATCGATGTAACTGCTTCACAGCCTCGTCAATAGATTGATTTCCCCTCCCACCTACCTAGCACTCGACCGACTGATGCCTACCCTCAATATTGCTCACCCTATTATACCATTTCACACGAGAAATGGTATGCGGGCAGCTATGATCGAAGACAGCTAGCTAGCTAGTTGGCCTGGCTTTTCATGTCTTCCACTCTCAATGGCCAGGTCTCACAGCTATAAAGGAGTTGTATGGAGCGGACTACTGAGCAGTACACGCGCCCTTTGGTTGATAGGCAGCCAGACATCAGGTCTACTAAGCCAGAGACGGCGTGAACTGGCATAGGTGAAATGAGCCTTCTGTATCCATGGTGAGATTTCATCAGTGATCAACCCACTGTTTATATATATATGTATATATATATAAACTTTTATGATAATAATAATAATGGTAATAATAATAATGTATTTTGTTTTGTAATTTCATTGTACACTTTTAGCTGGAATCGTTGAGTTATGCAATGTAAGTGAAATTTCAGTCTTATTTAACCTTTGTTCAGTTTGAAGTAAATATTTTTGTGTAATTTACTGTTTTAAAGATTGTTTATTGTTCTCCTGGGCGTCGATACTCCACGGTATACATTTTATTCATTGCCGGACTTGTCATGTGTTCAATGTTTTCATTGTTGGTTTCCTTTTTTTTATAGTTTTGCTTGTTGTGTTCCTTTTCTAGACCCACATCACTTCCTCTAAATGACTGTAACACTATTACTGGTTTATAGTTATTCACCTTTAAGCTGATAATGTTAGGTTTCAGGAATTCATCATGAACTGACCACACCGGTTGGTTACAGAAGTATTGGGAAACCATCAAGGAGTACTGCATGGACAGATGTTCCAGTTGTCCTAGTTCGGGACTCTGCTTAGTCAGTACGCACCCACCCCACTGCATGGGTTCGAAGTGAGGACCTTCCGGTTACAAGGCGGGCGAGGTTTTAGACCACCAAACAGCTACTGGGACTCGCGAATCCTCTGGCCAATCCATGAATCCCAACTTCTGCCAAATGACGCACGATATAACTCGACTGGCACTAGCGAATGTCATCAGTGGCGAGTATTTTTCCTCACATCTCCGACCTGCTGTTACAGTTGAAGTGAGGAATACTTGCAGCTTGTCAATGAAACATGCAGTTCCCAGTAGTACTGGCCAGCTTTAGATAGCAATCGAACTTGGCTTCAATTTTGCTGCTAGCCTTGAAGAAGGCAATTCATCTTATAAAGATAAAAAAGAACAAATTTACCTTACTCAATATTCAATCAAGAATTCTAGGTTCTAGGGTTATTCCAGCCTGAAATAGTCAATGTGAGAAAAGCCAGTATGAGTTTGTATACATTTAGAGATGGTGGTGTCACTTGAATCTTTCCATTTGACGGGAGATACTGTGACTCAAGAATTTACTGCAACCCTAAGTAAATAAATTTCAAAAACCTTAACAGACATTCAGTGGAAGTGTATTTTCATTTCAATAAAGGCTTTTTGGGCAAAGTTAAAGTATCATAGCCAAAGTCAAGGTCTTTCAAAAGTTGACCTTCAAGAAACGATCAGACACAGGGAATGAATGCTATGAAATATCATTCCAAATCAAGTGACGCCTGCCTTTTTGGACTTGGAGAGGTTAGATAAAGTGCTCTACGTACTTTTATACGTACTTTCCCTGCAAATCTGTACTGTTAGGTAGGGTTATGGTTTTAGGTTAAAGTTGGAGCTAGGAGTAGGTTGGAGAATAGTGTCGGAAATATCAATGGATGGATCTGAAAGTACAGTCACCTGAATGATTGGGTATACCACACATGGTACGATTTCTCTATACATCATCTGACTGGAAGAAGTTATTACAACGCATCAGCTACAACTATACAGTGTAATATCAAGTTTGCAATATTTTTAAAAAGTGTATTTTTCAACGATTATGCGACATTTTTGCATCTGAATTCTCATTGTTTGTTCGTGGTCATCACTGCACTGGTTTTGGCTATGATAGTTTAACTTTGCCGCTTCTTGTTGTGTGTGTGTGTGTTTATGCATCAATTTATGTATTTAGCCTATATCAATCAGTGCCCAAGGTGGTCTGTAAATGCTTGTAAATTAGGGACTGCTGATAGTGTCCGACACATTACACTTTTGCAACACTGTATGTTGTGTAATCATTGTGCACCATGTGAGTGTGTGTGTGTGTGTGTGTGCGTGTATACGAAGTATACTCTCGGACACCTATTACAAAGCTAGTTACTGATAACTGACTGACTGACCGACTTATTCCAATATAGAATTTTGCACACAAAGGCAACCGTCCAAACTGTCACACTCCACATAGCACACAATGGTAGAGAAAAATACAGAAGGAAGAAACTCAAATGAGCTATTATGGTCAGACGTATACGGGAGAAAGAATATTAACAATGGAAAAACATGAGGAATAAATGGATACGAGAGATGATTATAGAAAGTAAATGTGTAACGACAGAAGACAAGAGCCAGGCAACAGATCGTTTATTGAGAAAGTCAACAGATATTTATAGATTTTTATGTACATTGTTATTAGTGTTATTGCTAGCAGAGAAGCAACGTCTTCTGATTGCTTGTTGTTTTCTTGCCAAAGTCTATTCTGTACTGCTTCGGACCGTTTCTTAGAAAGTTAAGCCATATATCTGTGCGAATCGTATTTGCACACGTTAAGTTTGCTGTGATTGGTTGGCAAGTTCCTCAAGGTTAGGCTTTGTTATTGTGTTTTTTCTCTCATGACCCCAATTCGGGACGTAAACATTGACGTAAATTGTTGTCTAGAATTTCGGCTTATTCGCAGACAGCTCTCACTACAAATGAATCTGCGTCTGTACCATTGAGTCCTATCACAAATAGTCTCTCCTCACACAGGGTTCTTTCTTAACATCTCGACACGTCACTAACCAGCCCTATGTGGGGCGGCTGGCTCAAACTAAACTGTCAAAGACCTTATAGATATTGATGACAGATATTTAATTTAACCAACCAACCCGTAACTTTTCCAATGTCAGCTACCAAAGTCTACTTGATTTCTTTAGGATCGATTCTAATTTATCAAAACATGCATACACAACCTTCAAAAAATGAAGGTGAGAATTTTAGAGACGAGGAAAATGTTTGTTTTTTCTTTTTATATTTATTTATTTATTTAAACGCAGAAAAACTTGGTACAATATGGCACCAAGAAAGATGCGCCACACGATATTGTGTGAGGGCTGAGATACTGCCCGGGCGCCCAGACAGAAGCAGGTGGTTTTCCTAAGGGACCACCCTCCGAGCCTTTGACTTGCAGTCTAATCCGCAAGGCAGCGGAGCTGCGTTCCCATGGTCGCCGGTGACCCATATGGGTTCATACGCCACTTGATCCGATTGGATTCTGGAGCCCATGTACCCCATGGTAACTGCTTTTAGTCTAACCGCTATCCAAACAACCTTCCTGACATGGTAGGACCTGCAGGGACATGAGTCGCAGCCAGTTTAGCTTGTTGGGTCACTGCGGCATTCAAACCCGACCACCACGGCAAGGTAGCAGTTATCGGTCGGGTTTTTTCTTTTTGGTGTTTTCTCAAGATGTTAAAGGCTTCACGATTGTTGTGTGTAATATTCGGGCAGAGAAAAAGCAAGCTGAAATCTATGCATAATTAATCAATCGGCTCAACTTGCAGTCTAAAAAATTAAGCCAAACGAAAGAGTACTGCGGAATGATAAATCACACTTTGTTTACGAAAAAAAAGCCAAAAAAATGTAGCTGATCCCCGAAGAACTTACAATAAATAAAATTGTCTTAATTGTGAATGTAGGCTTAAATCGCCTCAACACGTTCAAAGTGGGCATCAGTTTTCAAATTGTTTCTCGTCAGTGAAAGTCAACTGTGCATTCCGCCAATTGTCGCAAATACCCATTCATCATCCCTGTGATAATCACAGGGGGGGGGGGGTAGCTTGACTAATATGGTATCTAAACATCTAGGCTCAATACAATGCGTAGAGTAAGCGGTGCTCGAGAGGAACAAACACGAGAGAACCAAGCAGGCTTTAGACCAGGAAGAGGGTATACTGACGGATCATATCTTCACACTTCGACAGATTCTGGAACATAGACATACTTACCGTTGGCGTCCAACAATCGTTATATTTCTTGACCTAAAGGCTGCATTCAATTCTGTCGACCGAGAGGTATTATTGGCGATGTTTGGCTGTGAAGGGAATGCCGAGAAAATACATCACACTGATCAAGGCACTCTAATCGAACTCATGCCGTCAGCCAGGTGAGAGCCTACGTGATGGCAACCAGTGGTGTCCGTCAGGGATGCCCACTGTCCCCATTCCCGTTTAATTTCATCATAAATGTACTAATGGAATCGACCCTAACTGACTTCAGCGACTACCGGGGAATAATCTCGTTGACTTGGAATATGCAGATGATATAGTCCTCCGTGCTAGGTGAAGAAACTGACAAAATGCAGTAGAGTGTTCTGAACACCTTGAGCTGTACTTCTTGAGAATGATATCGCCGAAAAGGGTAACTCTTTGGTGCAATACTGAAGTGTGATAATGTTAGGGTATCGCATTTTTTTAAAAAACAATTAGTCCCTTTTATAAATTAGGATAGTGTTATTATTAGAAGACGGAGATTATCTGAAAAATGCGATGCGATGTGATGAATTTGCACGTCATTGTACATTTCGAACAATCTGATGCCTCACACATTTACTTGTCAAGTCAATTTATAGATAGGAAAAATGAGAAAGTACACAAAGTGACAAAAAGGATTGAAGAATAGGAATAATTAACACAACGTTTGGTAATCCAATCAGATAGGAGTAGCAAGGTAGTAGGTTAAAAGTAATAATAAATTTCTTTCGTACACATAGGGGGAGACTTAAGTTTATGAATAGCTATAGCCCCAGCGTATTTCACTAAGCCCCCTTGACCATTTTTATAGATGACCCTGAAAGCTTTATTGACATCAATCTTAAGGATCATATCGATTAGATGTTTGGCTATATACGAAGTTGGTAGTCTGCCACAAGCGTCTATCGACTTCCCGAAGTCCCACCCCCTCACGTCCACAGTGCGATTACTCCTCCCTATCTATGTATGTCCACACACACTTAGACTGGTGAATAGTGTGAATGTGACATAATCCCTTGTGCACTTTTGAGGTATGTAGTGGAGCATATTTTTGGCTTCTTCAATGAATACAAGCCGGACTGCATCATAGATTCTACGGATGTGACCGAGTTTAATCTCTTTCTTTATTTCCCCATTGTAGGGTAATTTAACGAACCCATCTTTCTTAAGAGCGGAATAGATTGTCGGTTTCAAGACTAGTTGACCTCGACACATGACCAAAGGCTGGTGTTTGAAAACGAAATCTATAGATGTAGCACATCAGTTCTGTAATTTAAGTTGGAAACAAAAAAGCATTTCGACCTTGACCCGTTTTAAAGCCCTAAAGGGATTACGTAACAGATTTGTTATAGTTATGCTGAAACCTGACCAAG